AAAAAAAAAAAAAAAAAAAAAGAACAAAATCATGAATTTTGCAGCAACCTGGATGTAATTAGAGTCTATAATACTGAGTGATCTCTCACGGAAACAAAGATCTGAGCATCACAGGTTCTCATAAGTGAACCTTGAACAACTACCGTAACACTATAAGAAAAGGATTGACAGTGGCGGGAAAATATGGGGGGGCAGGGAGGGGAAGGGAGGTGGGATTAACGGTAGTCAATATCTGGGGAAAGGGGGCCACACCTCATCAACAAGGCTACCTGCACAATGAATATTTGTATACCTACCCCTTAACTGTACCCCACAATTTTAAAATAAAAGATACATATATAATTTTTAAAAAAGAGAAATGCGATGTGTTTCCAAATCGGGCAAGCAGTGGTCCCCTTCGGCCACTGCCGGCCCCCTGGCTCTAGGGACCCAGGCTCTGCCTCTGTCCTGGGCTTCAGCCTGACCCTGGCACCCGGCTGGGGCCCGGATCCTAGCCCTGCCTCTCCCACTGGCCTCCAGAAGCTGCCTCCTGGGCACCTTGCCTCTGGTCCCAGCTGAAATGCACCCTCCTGCAGGGGCAGGCAGGAGTGCTTTCCCCGGCTCCCCACCCCCTCCTGTCCCCAGCTCTGTCCCCTGTCCCTGGGGACGGTGTACCTCACCACCAGCATCGTCCAGATTCTCCGACGGAGCGTGGGCACGCGGAGTAGATCAAGCACTGACCGCTGGTCCTTCGCGGAGGCCGCCTCCTCCTCCATGCTGGACATCAGCACCTCCAGGAGAACAGGGCACAGTGGATGTCTGGGTCATGGCCCCGCCCCCGTGCCGGGGAATGGCGCCCAGGTGGGCAGCGTGAGGGGGAGTCTGGCCTGGGCCTCGGCCTCTGGAAACCAGGGTGCTAGTAGTGGGGCAGAAAAGTTTCTCTCTGACCCCCAGGCTCTTCTGCAGGCCTGGCCCGCCTACTCACACCGGGAGGGATCTTGTGGTCCAGCTCTGGTCCCTCAAGCGGCAGGACACTTGCAGCAGGCCTCCGTCAAGGCCGCAACATCCCTCTTGTGCCTCCCGGCTGGCGCCATGACACGCCCACCTGGGCGATGCTGGCTCCAGCCCCTCCCTCCTGCACGTCTGGGTGCAGCCTGTGTGGTGCTCAGCCAGGGCCATCAGCTCTAGCTTGCCTCCTCCTGGAAGCCTTCCCCAATCCTCCCACCCCCAAGAGTTCTGCGTCCTTAATCTCTCTGCGTCCTTGAAATCGCTTCCTTCACATAAGCGTATCCTGTTTTCCCCAACACACTGAGGGGTGGGTGGCATGCGTGGGTCATGGTGGGTCAGAGAGGTGATGGAGTGGGTGTCACTGGTAGTGGTGGTGTTGCCATGGGTGGTGGTGACGGTGGGGAAGGAGAGGGGGTGTTTTGTAGACAGTGATGGGGCGTTAGTGGTCATGGTGCAGTGGCGATGATTGGGATGGTGGTGGTGAGCGTGATGGTGGGTGGGGATGGTTGGGATGGCATCGATGGTGTGGGTCTGGGGTGGTGATGGTGGTGAAGGCGGCGGTGACATTTTGGAGGGATGGAGATGGGGATATTAGTGATGGTGGTGGTGGTAATTGGGAGGGTAGTGGTGATGGTGGTGGTGGTGATTGGGGTGGTGGTGGCACTTTTGGTGACGGTGTTGATGATGGTATTATTGGTGAGGTGATGCTTTGGTGTGGAGGTGGTGATGGTGGTTGGTGATGATGGTGGTGATGACGGTGGTGAAGGTGGTGGCCATGTTGGTAGAGATGCTGACGGGGATGTCAGTGATGGTGGTGGAGATGGCAGTGAGGGTGACGGTGGGCATGGAAGGTGGTGCTTCTGCAGGTGAAGGTGTCGATAATGGCGTTGTCACGGGTGGGGTGATGGTGAGGATGGTGGCAGTGGTGGCGACTGAGATGGTGGTGGTGCTGGTGGAGATGGTGGTGCCATTGTTGGTGAGGGTGGTGACAGTGGGATTGTTCTTGGTGTGGGGACGGTGTTGGTGCAGAGGTGGTAATGATGGTGGCATTGTTGGTGTTTGTGGAGAGGCTGATGGCGGTGCTGCTGGTGGTTTTTCTGGAGGTGGATGACGTTGGTGATGGCACAGAGGACACACCAGTGTGTGTCCTCTCTCCTGCCGAGTCACACACTCTGGGTGGCAAGCAGCAGCATCTCACCTCGATGGTCAGCGTCTTCTTGGCTTCCTGGTGGCCATTGATCCTGGCCACCTTTCTGAGTCCCCGAAGCGCTTGTTCGGGCTTGCCCACGGTGAGCAGCCACCGGGCGGATTCCGGCAGCCACCTGTGAAGGAAGCGGCGGCGTGGCGGGTGTGGGTGCCCGCCTGGCTCTCCCCAACCCGGGCCGGTGGGAAGGGTGGCGGGCCGCGGGCCCTCCCGCCGGGACAAAAAGGAAGACAGGACCAATGCCCCCGCACTGCGGATGCCAGGCAGGAGACCGGCAGTCCCTGACAGGCTCAGAATAAAGCTGAGTACCAACGCCTGGCCGCCCACGTTGCCTGGCCGCCCACGTCCCCGTGCCAGCCCCCTCTGGCTCCCCCGGCTGCCAGGAGCCTGCCTGGCTGAGCCCTGCACACTCAGGGCACAGGCTGCCTGGGCATGGGTGTCCCTAGGGCCGGCTACTCCTCCAGCGCTTCTGGGCCATTTCCGCGATAGAAAGATCAGAGTTTTTATCTGTTTGTTTTTTACGCACAGCCAGTCTGCTTCTCCCCAGCCTCAGCTACAGAAGAGCCAGGAACAACATTTTTCTGGTGAAAAGCCAAGAGTTTGCCCAGCCCATGGGGGCTCAGTCCTATTGGCTGGGAGGCGAAGGACTTCTGAGGCAGTTTGACAAAAAAAGTCAACCTGGCTGGGCTTGGTGGCTCAGCCTGTCATCTCAGCACTTTGGGAGGCCGAGGCGAGTGGATTGCCTGAGCCCAGGGTTCGAGACCAGCCCAGGCAACTTGGCAAGACCTCGTCTCTACAATAAATCAAATATTAGCCGGGCACGGTAGCGCACGCCTGTAGTTCCGGCTACTCGGAAGGCTGAGGCAGAAGGATCGCCGGAGCCCGGCAGATTAACGCTGGGGTGGCCATGAGTGTGCCACTGCACTCCAGCCTGGGCGACAGAGTGAGACTCCAACTCAAAAAAAAAGCATCAGCCTGCAGGGGTTCAAATCCCACCCCTGTCACTCACCAGCTGTGTGACTTTGGCCAAGCGACTTAACCTCTCTGGGCCTCAGTCCCTTCTCTTGAAAGTGGCGATCATAACATCCTCTTCCTTATTAGAAGATGTGTTTTAATACACATCAGGTGTTATGAACCATGCCTGGTTCACACCCATCAGTTTGATGGAGTGGCCTAGTAGGTGTGACCCTGTGGATTGCCTTTCTTGCTTGTCGGGCCGCACAAAACAAATGCCACCTGGTCTGTGGCTTTTTGCTGTTTCGTTCACTCGTGCATCTCCAGTGCCTAAAACTCTTTGTATCTGTGTCCCCGTGCCTTCTCCCCAACTCAGAGAGGCATTTCCAGGCCTCAGGGATGTTTGCGGCACGAAAAATAATAGTGGGAATGACATGTTTTTATTTTATCTCTTGAGACTGGGTCTCACCCTGTCACCCAGGCTGGAGTACAGTGGCCTGAACACGGTTCACCACAGCCTCGACCTCCTGGACTCAGGCTAGCCTCCTGCCTCAGCCTCCTGAGTAGGTGGGACCACAGATGCCTGCCACCACACCAGGCTAACTTTGTAAAAATTTTTTGGGCCAGGCTCGGTGGCTCAGCCTGTCATCCCAGCACTTTGGGAGGTCAAGCCCACGAGTTTGAGACCAGCCTGGGCAACTTGGTTAGACGTCATCGCTACAATAAATCAAAAAATTAGCCAGGTGTGGTGGTGCGCACCTGTAGTTCTGGCTCCTTGGAAGGCTGAGGTGGAAGGATCGCCGGAGCCCAGCCTGGGCGACGGAGTGAGACTCCAACTCAAAAAAACCTTTTTTTTGTAGAGACGGGGGTCTCACTGAGTTGTCCAGGAGGGTCTTGAACTCCTGGGCTCAAGCAATTCCTCCTTCCTCAGCTGCCCAAAGTGCCGGGATTATAGGCTTGAGAGCTTGCCTAGCCAGTAAGGACATATTTTCGCATCCAACCTCGGTCCTCACTGTCTGCGAAGGGACGAGGCTGGGGTGGGGGCCGGGTGCGAGTGCAGGGGAAGAGCAGTGCCCATGGCCTTGGCCCAGAGAGCGGGGGCAGGGCTTGGGAAACCCAGAAAATGGCTGGTTCGACTCTGGCCTGGTGCTCCTGGCTCTTCCAATTTCTCAGAAGAATGTAAAAATATTGTTGTTGTTGTTGTTTTAAAATATCTTCTCAGTTTTTTTTTCTTTTTTTTTTTAGTTGGCATCTCACTGTCGCCCAGACTGGAGTGCAGTGGCCGC